CTCTGGTCCTGGTTCTGGTCCTGGCTCTGGTCCTGGCTCTGGTCCTGGTTCTGGTCCTGGCTCTGGTCCTGGCTCTGGTCCTGGTTCTGGTTCTGGCTCTGGTCCTGGCTCTGGTCCTTGCTCTGGCTCTGGTCCTGGCTCTGGCTCTGGCTCTGGTTCTGGTCCTGGTCCTGGCTCTGGTCCTGGTCCTTGCTCTGGCTCTGGTCCTGGCTCTGGTTCTGGTCCTGGTCCTGGCTCTGGTCCTGGTCCTTGCTCTGGCTCTGGTCCTGGCTCTGGCTCTGGTCCTGGTTCTGGTCCTGGCTCTGGTCCTGGCTCTGGTCCTGGCTCTGGTTCTGGTTCTGGTCCTGGGTCCAGTCAGTCCATCCCGGACTGTAGAATGAGCCAGAAATGATCTTCACAACAACAGCAAGCTCACACACACACACACACACACACACACACACACACACACACAGAGCGGTCCGGTTGGTTCAGTCTGAGCAGACCCAGTGATGATGGACCGGGTCGGGTCCACAGACACCCAGCCGGAGCTCCTCCCTCCTGCAGCCGGGTCAGAACCAGAACTTTTGAGAGTGAGTGAGAGAGAGACCGAGTGTGTGTATGTGTGTGTGTGTTAGGTTTTCTCAGTTTTACTCACAGAACCAGAAATAGAGAAAAACAGGAACTGGTTCTGATGGGTTCATTCTGAAAGTGATAGCTGCCTCTGCTGAGGCGCTACCGGGTCGGTTCTGACTGCTGAGTCGGTCCCAGTAGAACCAGCAGAACCAGTGGCTGACTCTGTGGGTTGGATCAGTACAGAGCGGGTCCAGTTAGTTCCTGTGTGGTTCACAGTCACAGAAGGTTCTGGTTCTGCCCGACCTCCCAGAGTGAAGTGTGTGTGTGTGTGTGTGTGTGTGTGTGTGTTTTCCTGTAATTGCTAACTCTATAGGACCACTTTCACAACATTTACCAACAGAGTGAGGACATTTCCTGGTCCTCACTTCTTTTCCAGTTCTACTGGTTTGATTTAGAAAATGGGTGAGTTAAGTTCTACAGTCATGGCCAAAAGTTGAGAATGACACAAATATTATATTTTCACATGATCTGCTGCCCTCTGGTTTTCATGTGTCAGATGTTTTCATCACATACAGAAATACAATTGCAATCATATTATGAGTAACAAAAGCTTTTACTGACAGAATGAGTTAATGCAGCAAGTCAGTATTTGCAGTGTTGACCCCTCTTCTTCAGTACCTCTGCAGTTCTCCCTGCCATGCTCTCAGTCAACTTCTGGACCAAATCCTGACTGATAGCAGTCCATTCTTGCACAATCAATGCTGCATTTTGTCAGAATTCCCAGGTTTTTGTTTGTCCACCCGTCTCTTGATGATTGACCACAAGTTTTCAATGGGATTAAGATCTGGGGAGTTTCCAGGCCATGGACCCAAAATCTCTATGTTTTGTTCCCTGAGCCAGTTAGTTATCACCTTTGCTTCATGGCAAGGTGCTCCATCATGCTGGAAAAGGCATTGTTCATCACCAAACTGCTTTTGGACGGTTGGGAGAAGTTGCTCTCAGAGGACATTCTGGTACCATTCTTTATTCATGGATGTGTTTTTAGGCCAGACTGAGAGAGAGCCGACTCCCTTGGCTGAGAAGCAACCCCACACATGAATGGTTTCAGGATGCTCTACAGTTGGCATGAGACGAGACTGGTGCTAGCGCTCACCTCGTCTTCTCCGAACAAGCTGTTTCCAGATGTCCCGAACAATCGGAAAGGGGATTCATCAGAGAAAATGACTTTACCCCAGTCCTCAGCAGTCCACTCCCTGTACCTTTTGCAGAATATCAGTCTGTCCCTGATGTTTTTCCTGGAGAGAAGTGGCTTCTTTGCTGCCCTCCTTGAGACCAGGCCTTGCTCCAAGAGTCTCCGCCTCACAGTGCGTCCAGATGCACTCACACCTGCCTGCTGCCATTCCTGAGCAAGCTCTGCACTGCTGGTAGCCCGATCCCGCAGCTGAAACACTTTTAAGAGTCGGTCCTGGCGCTTGCTGGTCTTTCTTGGCGCCCTGGAGCCTTTTTGGCAACAATGGAGCCTCTCTCCTTGACGTTCTTGATGATGCGATAGATTGTTGACTGAGGTGAATCTTTCTAGCTGCTCTTCCCTGTTGGGCCATTTTTGTGCAGTGCAATGATGACTGCACGTGTTTCTTTAGAGATAACCATGGTTCACAGAAGGGAAACAGTGATGCCAAGCACCAGCCTCTTTTTAAAGTGTCCAGTGGTGTCATTCTTACTTAATCATGACAGACTGATCTCCAGCCCTGTCCTCATCAACACCCACACCTGTGTTAATGGAGCAATCACTGAAACGATGTTAGCTGGTCCTTTTAAGGCAGGGCTGCAATGAAGTTGAAATGTGTTTTGGGGGATAAAGTTCATTTTCTAGGCAAATATTGACTTTGCAGTTAATTGCTGTTAAGCTGATCACTCTTTACAACATTCTGCAGTTTATGCAGATTGCCATTATAAAAACTGAAGCAGTAGACTTTGTAAATATTAACATTTGAATCATTCTCAAAACTTTTGGCCATGACTGTAGTTCTGGTTAGGACTGGACTGGTTCTGGTTCTTGTTGGGGAAAATTGTCTGGGTTAGGCATCCAGTTACTAAAATGAATGGAAGTCGATATAAAGTCCAGAAGTCCATCAATCTAATATCAACAGGGCTGCACCGATTGCAGTTTTCTAGCCGATCGTCGATCTTAAAAAAAACGCCTGACCTACCCTTTCTGATTTTGGCTGATACCAAATTTTTTTGTCTGAAATGTCGCTAAATATAGCAAAAAGGTCGCTGAGTTGGCAACAGTGGGGTTACTATGGTTACTGCAAACATGCAGACTTGACCTGGTGGGCGGGGCTAAAATGGTTTTAATTGCACTGATTGAACAGATTAAAGTTGTTCTTCCATGTTTGACCAAATCTGTGAAACTGTAGGAGTATTTAATACATTAATAATTCTGAACATTTATGTCTGCATTTAAAAAAGAAACGTTTAAGTCATTTCAGCTGTTTTGGATTGATATCAATACTAATCGTCAGATATCGGAAGTGAAAGCAGTGGATTGGTGCATCGCTAACAGAGTCCTCACTTTGGTTAGAAAGTGCACCAGTTGCAGTTTTCTGGCCAATGCCAATTTTTCTTGTCTGAGATGTTGCTCAACATAGCAAGTAAGTTGTTGAGTTGGCAACAGTGTAGTCACTGTTGTTGATTGTAAACGTGCAGACATAACTTGGAGCGTCAGTCAAACCTTTCTCACTGGAGACCAAACAGGACAGTGGTTGATTCTTAGACCTTTGCCAAGCTAGATAGGACCAGTGGACAAGATCGGCTTCACATGTAGAAATCGGCCGATCTCCCAAAATTAAGGAGATCGGCACCAATAAATCAGTGCACCCTTAGTTAGAAGTCCAAGCCAGAAATGGTCTTCACAACAACAGCAAGCTCATACACACACACACACACACACACACAGAGCGGTCCGGTTGGTTCAGTCTGAGCAGACCCAGCGATGATGGACCGGGTCGGGTCCACACACACAGCCTGTGCCGTCTCATCTCATCATGTCCGTCTCCGTTTCTCCTCCAGGTTGCGAGGCGTGCAGAGCGTAGCGGCCATCATGCCGCAGCAGAAGGACATTGTGAGGATCGCCATCCAGATGCCCGGGGCGTTACCGCAGCTCATCCAGCTGGACCAGGTAGCCTCCGTCCGCCATGTTGGCGTCTCACCGAGCCCAGCCGGGTTCACAGGGTGTGAATACTTTCGGCCGTAGAGTTTGACCAGCAGGTCAGAGTCTGCCGTCTCCTGATTGGCTGCTAGACCTGGACTCACTTCAGGGGATCTAGGCCTCACGATGTCATCAGTCTTCCTGATGACATCATCAGGAAGACTGATGATGACTGATGAACCCCTGTTTGGTTCTGCTGTGTTGGACCAGACGACACGTCAAGAACCTGCAGGACAGGTGGAGAACCGCCAGTCCAGATGAGGTCTGATTCATCTCTAATCCAGAATAATCTGGATGGGCTGGACAGCAGCTCAGTCTGGGTTTGTTTGCATCTGAGCCGGTTCTGAGTAGAACGGGTCGGGCTGTGTGAGGTCCTCCTCTGGTGGCGGTGACGTTTTACATGCTGAAGGTTCTGACTGGTTCTGTTGTGCTTGCAGAAAAAGCCTCTGTCTGCGGTCATCAAGGAGGTCTGTGACAGGTAAGTTCTGTTCTGCTCCGGTTCTAACCTCTTTGACTTTGAATAATAATAATAAAAATATTCTAAAGCAGATGTCACCCGACTGAAATCTGCATCTAGTTTTTACCTGGAAAACGTCGAATCAACGTGAGACACAGACAGACGGTTCAGATTGACTAAACTCTGACTTCAGCTGCATGTGCAGTAATCTGGATTATGAATATAAATCTGGATTACTTCATGGAAGTCAGTGATGATGGTTTACAGTTTTGGGGCACCAGAGTGTCAGAGCTGGAACCTTGAGCTCATTGGTTCATGATGTAGCAGATGGAACTGGCCAGACACTTGATCAAGTTTTGTTATTGTTATTGCACATAATAAACAAACAAACTGCTTCGTAAATAATAATAAATTCCATCTGCAGGTATGCTACGGAAGCATTTAACTCCCAAAACCAGAAAATAAAATCAGAAGCGGTAACGAGAAAGTTTCCTCGTTATAACGAGTTTTATATCTCGTTAAAACTTCTGTTTGCACAGAAGTGCTAACAAGAAAAAAACGTTGTTTATAAAGCAAAAAATGCTTTAATATGCAGGGTTTCCCCAGTGTAATATAAGCCTGGTGGCCCGCCATGCTTTACTAGCTGCGTTGGCTCTGGTTGAGCAGCTCTACGTGAACCGCAGGAATAACTTGTCGTCTTTCTTTCAGCGGGTTGAGGGAGCGGTGAGAATGATTTATATCTGTGATTATGCAGCGTTTCCATCTCAACTCGCTGCCCAGCGTGTGGCGCTGTCTGCCCTGTAAAGTTCATGTCTGTGTCCCGGTTGGTCGGAGCGTTAGCGGCTAACGAACCAGCGCTAACCTCATCATGCAGGTCCAGCCCGGTGAGGAGCTTTAGCCTCGCCTCGATGTCACACTTTACGCTGGTTTTAGATTATTTCAGTTTTATTTTTAGCATTTTTCCGGTTACACGATGTACCAACCCAGATTAACTCGTCCTGCAGGGCCGGTCCAAGGCTGATGAGGCCTGGAGCAGAATCTGACTGAGGGGCCCCATCAGCAGCTCTAACAGCTTCTGTGTTGGATTTAATCTGGGAGACGAGGGGGAGTTTAACTGGCCAAACTAAAAACAATCAGTTATAATCCAGTTTATTAATTTGTATTTGTGAACAAACAGCTCAAACTCAAAGATTAAACTCGCAGCATCAGATTGTTGCTATGGTAACAAAACAATTAGCTATGAATATTGTTCTTTGAAGTTTTACAAAGTAAACCTACCAGCTCCTTAAAATCTTACATTTAAATGTTAAACAATTTAAAATATTTTAATTTATGCTGAAACCATTAAATCAAATTCAGCAGCATTGATCATCTCAATAAACAAATGTTACATTTATGAATCTGTGTTAAAATATCAGCATTTATGGCCCCTGAAGCCCTGGGGGCCCGATGGAGCCGCTGAGTTAGTTTGGATTAAACAGAAGTGCAAATAATTGATATTCATTTTAATTGTATTTTTTAAACTGTTTTTAAGACTAGTTCTGGGTTTAAATATTTCTCTGGCCATGTTTTCCTCCAACATGTAATTACCCAGTAATATTTTTACATTTCCTGTCAACTTAACATCTTTTAATACAGAAACATGGCGGACGGCCCGCTGGGCTGAGCAGGTTCTCTGGGGGAAATTTGTCATAACGTAAAAGTTTCAGGTTAATGATTTGTCTAGTTTTAATCCGTCTTTTCTCGCTCCAACACGTTACAGCATAATAACAGGAACAGTTCTCATTAAAATGAGAACTTGTTTTTTGCTGTTGTGAGATGTAGAACTGTTCTAGTCTTAATGGTTCCTGGTATCTGAGCGTTGGTAGATGAAGGCGCTGACATTGTGTTCGTCCTCAGCTGGAACCTTCCGGGTCCCGAGAACTACGCCCTGCAGTACGATGGAGTCCAGATGTACATCACCGAGTCGGTCAGTCTCACCGCAGCGCCAACATGGCCGCCTCCTCTGACTGACAAAGGTTTACTCCTCATCATCATCAGACCAGCTGACTCCAACAGCATGAGATGATGATGATGATGATGATGCTACAGCTGGAGGAACAAGCGGGTTTCTGCTGGCAGATGTTCCTGGTTCTGGACTGAATCTGTGGATCCGACCAGAAGTTTCTGTTCTGGAGCTGCTGGAACATCTGCAGTGAAGAAACTTCCTGACTGAGACTTTAGCTTTTATTTCATTCTAAAAATTATTTTAGTTCTCCGGTTAAACGCTGTGCTCTGTGCTTCCAGAACCGCCTGGACATCAAGAACGGCTGCATCCTGCGTCTGACCAAAGCCCCGGTGAGTCTGCCGCCACCTGACTCCGGCTTTCTGAACTAATTCTGGAGAATCTGACCAGTAATCTGGAAAGGTGATCAGTGATCTGAAGAACCAGATAGGTTCCGTCACCACTGGTCCTGTTCTGGTGGATCTGATGGTTCTGGTGGTCCCGGTTGGTTCTGGTGGTTCTGTTCTCCTCAGTCTCAGAAGTCAGCAAACAGTTTTGGTCAGGAAAAGGTCGGATTTTCTAATCAGTTTAATCCAGTCCAGAGTCCGACCCAGATTCCCCAAGAAGAGTGACGGATTAGGAGGCCCGGCATTCAGAACCTCCTGTGAACGGATCGGATCAGAACCGTAGCTGCATAGCATTAGAACCAGAACCTGGTGATCCAGGTGTGGAGGCGCACATGGCTGGAGCTCCTCCCACACGCTGACCTCCATCCTGGTGTCCTGTGTTTGACCTCAGGGTCGCTGTGCCGACGACCTTCACAAGGGCATCCAGAGCTCGGACGGCGGCGTGCGCTGCGACTCGCTGAAGGAGCTGGCGAGCGTCTCGCGGGACGTGACCTTCGCTCAGGAGTTCATCAACCTGGATGGACACAACCTGCTGGTCAAGATAGTGGAGGACTCCAGAGAGTGAGTATGAACGTAATCTGACGACATCTCAGAACCAGGATCCTCACCTGGACCAGAACCACTCCAACAGAACACCAACAACAGGTGGTCCAGAAGAATCAGAACCAGGCCAGAGGTCAGGGTTCAAGACAGGAACCACCACTGATCCAGAGGAACAGTGGTGGAACCAGAGGAACCTACCTCAGACTGACCAAAAGCTTCCTGATGATCCCAAAGACTTTTGGGAAATATCCTGAGGGCTGAAGAGACAGAACTGGACCTGATGGACGGTTCTGAACCTGTTTCATCTGGTTCTGACCATCGATTATACCTCACTGGACTGAACAGCGCCTGTTGGCTGCTATAGTTAGCTGCTACAGCTAGTCTGTCTTTAACTATAGTTAGCCTGTTAGCCACTATAGTTAGCCTGTTAGCCACTATAGCTAGCCTGTTAGCCACTATAGCTAGCCTGTTAGCCACTATAGCTAGCCTGTTAGTCACTATAGCTAGCCTGTTAGCCACTATAGTTAGCCTGTTAGTCACTATAGCTAGCCTGTTAGCCACTATAGCTAGCCTGTTAGCCACTATAGCTAACCTGTTAGCCATCATGACCAAAGGTTATGCAGCAGGATGGGATCCAACACATGGCATAATGTTGTGGATGTCCTAGTCAAAGTTGGGACTTTTTCTGATGGGAAACTCAAATGAAATGAGCTCAGAAGGTTAAAGGTCATCCACGGTGACTTTAGAGACTCATGAAGTCCTGATCTCACAGGAAGTGATGTCATCACTAACTGTGTTTGTTGCAGGAGCAACCAGATCATGACTCACACGCTGACCAGCTTCACGGAGCTGATGGATCACGGCATCGTTTCCTGGGAGAACCTGTCCGCCGTCTTCATCAAGAAGGTTCTTAATCCTCCTCCCCCCCCCACTACTCCTCCCCTCCCCACTCCTCCTCCCCCTGACCGTCTCTCCTCCCGTCAGATTGCCGGTTTCGTCAACTCCTCGTCCACAGACGTGTCCATGCAGCAGGTGTCCCTGGACATCCTGGAGAACATGGTTCTGAGCAGCCGCCAGCTGTTCCTGCAGGTCAAGCAGGAGGTCACCATGGAGAGGCTGGTCGCCCACCTGCAGGTGTAAGTGGAACCGGGCCGGTTCTGACCCGGCAGGAAGTTCTGCCCCTGACTCTTTCTCTCTCTGGTGCTTCAGGGCGAACCAGCAGATCCAGACCAAAGCCATGGCTCTGCTCATGGCCTTACTGCAGGCGGCTGAGGACGCAGACAGACAGGTACCGGTACCGCTCCACTCTCATCCGGGTCACACATCCACACTGGTACAAATGACGTTCATGTAAATATTAACGATACATTTGGATGATTTAATATGAATAAGTTTCTCCCTCCACTCAACTTTCCTTTAATATGCTGGGTGAGAACAGAACATTTCTCTATGGGAAACACGGGGATCTGATTTTCAGGTTTTTTATTGAATTCCTCAAGTAAAAAAACTTTTATTGTTGAAATGAAAAGTGTTGATGGGCTTCCTGGTTCTGATCCATTTGACGCTGCAGTAAACGTTGCTGATTGGCTGGATGGTTTCCCTCCAGGCTGACTCAGGTTTTCTGCTGAGGAACGGAGCGGTTTGGACCCGGTCGGCCCATCTCTGCCGGCCTTCTGTCCCTTGTTGTCCTCAGACAACAGTTGCTCTTTTCATTCTCTGGTTCTGTCTGTTCAGAGGCTGCTGCCCCCTGCTGGCAGGAGGCATCTCTGCGCCATAGTCACACGTCTCTTCTTCTGTTCCAGGAAATGTTTGCCTTCCTGAACAAGAAGAACGTCCGTCAGTACATCTATAAGGTGAGACGCTCCGCCGTCCCCAGCTCCCTCACATGAGGACGGACACTGGGGGACCCGTCCTCCAGTGTCCCGTCCTCCAGTGTCCCGTCCTCCAGTGTCCCGTCTTCCAGTGTCCCGTCCTCCAGTGTCCCGTCCTCCAGTGTCCCGTCTTCCAGTGTCCCGTCTTCCAGTGTCCCGTCTTCCAGTGTCCCGTCTTCCAGTGACCCGTCCTCCAGTGTCCCGTCCTCCAGTGTCCCGTCTTCCAGTGACCCGTCTTCCAGTGTCCCGTCCTCCAGTGTCCCGTCCTCCAGTGTCCCGTCTCTGTTTGTGTCCAGGACATCATCCTGAGCTCCAGTCCGGTCCAGGATGAGATGGCCCACCACCTCTACGTCCTTCAGTCAGTCACACTGAACCACTTGGAGACGCGCATGAGGACGCCATTGGACTGCTACTGCCAGGTGGGACACCGCCGTCTGTCCGTATGACTGTCCATAAGTTCATGCTGAACATCTTCATTTTTGTTTTGACAAAAAGACCCAAAATTGGCAGAAAAACTGATTTTATGGCCCTTTTCTTGTTTAGAACTGAAGCTTTGTTTTAAAGTGTCCATGCAGAACTTTTCAGAACCGGTTCCACTTCTTGTTTCTGTGGTTTGTGTCTTCAGGAGCAGCGGGATGCGCTGCACGGCCTGCGCCAGGCGGCGTTCGAGACGGACAGCGAGAACAGCCTGAGCAACGAGCGCCGCCGCTCGCTCTGCGCCAAGGAGTTCAAGAAGCTGGGCTTCTCTGTAAGGTCCCGCTTCTGCTCTGACTCGGTTCTGACCCGGTTCTGTTATCTCATTACTTCCTGATTGTTCCAGAACAACAGCAACCCGGGTCAGGACCTGGTGCGGACGCCTCCTGGTCTGCTGGCTCTGGACACCATGTTTTACTTTGCGACTCGCTATCCGGACGCCTACAGCAGGGTGAGTGCCTGGCCTGCTGAGGATGATGATGATGATGTCATAGCTGTTAATTTGCTGCTTTTGTTGCAGTTCGTCCTGGAGAACAGCAGCAGGGAGGACAAACACGAGTGTCCCTTTGCCCGCAGCAGCATCCAGCTCACACTCATCCTCTGTGAGATCCTGCGCATCGGAGACCCCCGTAAGTTGCAGCGCTTCAATGCAACTCGCAGCAAATTGCTGTAAAGTGCTGCGACGCGCTGCGACGAGCTGCAAAGCGCTGCGACGCGCTGCGACGCGCTGCAAAGGGCTGCGACGAGCTGCAAAGGGCTGCGACGAGCTGCAAAGCGCTGCGACGAGCTGCGAAGCGCTGCGACGAGCTGCAAAGCGCTGCGACGAGCTGCAAAGCGCTGCGACGCGCTGCAAAGCGCTGCGACGCGCTGCAAAGCGCTGCGACGCGCTACAAATGCTGCGACGAGCTGCAAAGCGCTGCGACGAGCTGCAAAGCGCTGCGACGAGCTGCAAAGGGCTGCGACGAGCTGCAAAGCGCTGCGACGCGCAGCAAAGCGCTGCGACGCGCTGCAAAGGGCTGCGATGCGCTGCAAATGGCTGCGACCACCTGCAGCTCTGTCCGTCCTAACCTCCGGCCCGTTGTGTCCGCAGCCTCGGAGACGGGCTCCAGCTTCCACCCCATCTTCTTCAGCCAGGACCGGCTGCTGGAGGAGCTGTTCTGCGTCTGCATCCAGCTGCTCAACAAGACCTGGAAGGAGATGCGCGCCACGCAGGAAGACTTCGACAAGGTCAGACACGCAGCTGCACCAGAGGCTGCAGACCTGATATTCAACTCCGGTCCGCTTTAACCCATCTCCAGTCCATCTGCCTGGAAACTCTGGTTTGTCTGTTGAGGTGTGAATTCTAAGCTAACTCTGGTCCTCCAAAACCTCAGTCTGGGTTCGGTTGAAGCAAACTTTGGTTCAGTTTGAATATGAACGCCAAGCGGACTGGAGACCGCTCCAAAAGCAAGAAGTGGACCACAATGCACAGCATTCTGGGTAAATACAACCAAAGCTAACCTGCTAGCCTGGTGCTAGCAGCAGAAATGGCTCCTGGTCTTTAGCTAAAGACTAAAGAGAAATCCGAAGTCCACCTCGCTGCAGCAAACAGGAAGGGGCGGGACGGACCTCTGTCAGTCTCTTACCTTATTTGGAAATGGGACCATTGCACTCTGGAAGTGAAGGGGGCGCTATTTCCTATATTCCTTCCATTTTTAATTTCTTTTGAAATCTGTGATATATCTTAATTTTTAAGAAGAATTTTCACTCTCTATGTTTTTTAACTTTTCTCTCTTATTTACTTCAGCACAGCTCAGTTTTTAACAAGTTCTGTAGTTTTCAGTTTACTTCTAAATCTGCTCCTTAGTTGCATCTTTTCGGGGTCTACTACTGCCTCTAGTGGCGTGGGGGTGGTAACACAACTACTCTAATTACATCACTAAATGAGAATACCACAAAGTCTTTATTATTTACTATTAATTCTGGCATTACTGGAACAGTAAAAGATAAAGTCCCTCACAAAAGAACATACCTTTTCATTTTCTTAAGGAAGTAGAGCTAATTAAAGGACATAAACAAGACCTGGAAGTGGTTCCAGTTTCACTCGATGGCCAACCTGTTGAAACTGTGGCAAATTTTTAATTCCTTGTGTCATTCCTGGACAGTCAGCTCAACTTTGCTGAAAACACTGACTGTATCTGTAGAGTAGAGTCTGAAGATAAGATATAAGGTAGAGTCTCAGAGACTTAAAAGGGGTGCTAGTTGGAAAAATACGGTGTTTTTTAAGATAATTTATCTTTTACTGTGCCAGTAATGCCAGAATTAATAATAAATAATAAAGACTTTGTGGTGTTCTGATTTAGTAATGTAATTAGATTAGTTGTGTTACCGCCCCCACGCCACTAGAGGCAGTAGCAGGTCTGAAAAGATGTGACTAAGGAGCAGATTTAGAAGTATGCCATTAGCTACAGAACTTTAAAAATGTGAACTGCGCTGAAGAAAATAAGAGAGAAGTTCAAATACACGCTGAGAGTGAAACTCCTTCCTAAAGGTGAAAATATATCACAGATTTCAAAAGAAAATAAAAATGGGAGTATAGAAAATAGCGCCCCCTTCACTTCCGGAGTGCAATGGTCCCACTTCCAAATAAGGTACTGACAGCGGTCCGTCCCGCCCCTTCCTGTTTGCTGCAGCGAGGACCTTCTCAGAAATCCTCCAACCGCTAAAATCTGACGCCTCCATCTTGTTTCCATCTGGTGAAGAAGGAAGTTGCTCTCGGTGTCTTCAGTGGTTCTTGGTGCAGCGCCCCCACAGGCCAGGAGGGGAACAGGCTGGTTTGACTCAGAACCACAGCAGAGAGGATAAAGCGGCTTTAGGCCGGACAAATGGAAACATGCAGAGGGGCAGAAAGAACCTGGGAATCAGCAGGAACACAATAAACCAAGAGGTCACATCTGGAAGAGCCTGTAAATCTGGAAAAGAATCATGTTTATGTATTTTCAGATCTGGAGAAGAAAATGGATAAAGGAGAAAATGATGATCTTCAGAGTTTATTCCCGTCTAAAACCTCCATCCATCCGTCAGCGGTTGGTCCAGGTTTCACATGTGAACCTCTACAAAGTTCTTCTACACAATAGTAATAAACTAGCGACCCTCAGGATGAACTGAAACAGAAAAATGTGTTGGAACCAAGAGATCGTAGCAAAAACCAGAAGAAAAAAACCATTTCATTAACTGAAGTAAAAATAAAAACTTTACATTTAAAAAAAAAACTGGAAATAACTGGAATGAACTGCTCAGTGGCTCCAGACCGCTCCGCTCCGCTCCGGTCCGGTCCGGTACGTCGCCCCTTCTGCAGGTCAGATCAGATCTGACCTCTGATCAGACTCGGTCACTCCAGGCTGAACGGTTCTGGTACTGGGTCGGGTTCTGATGAGGAGGAATGAGAGCAGCAGACTGGAGATCACTGATTCTGTTGCGAGTTCAGCTGATGTTTACAGATTTGAAATGTCAGAACCAGAACCTGACCTGGAGCCTTTCTGGGGTTTTAAAAAGTCCAAAAAGGATTTTTTTAAATCTGGATGTTAGATTTTAGCCGGATGTTCTGCAAACGCCTGCAGCTCGGTGGATGGTTTCCATCAACTTTTCATTATTTTGAAGATTCGTATTAGAAAAGTTTGATTTAAACAATAAAATTCAAAATAATTTTATCTTCAGGTGATTTCTGGCTTTTCAAACGAAAACATATTTACAGAAGTTCTGACTGCTGGTCGGAGCCTTACCAGAGGCACCGAACTCTACTTCCTGTTTGTTACTTCCCGTTTATCGCAGCCATGCGAAGCGGGAACATCCTTCTGGTTTATTGGCTCCGACTGGGCCGGTTCCAGTCCGGATCCAGACTGGAACCGGCCCAGTCTGTCAATCATTGACTGGAGATTTTAAAGAGAAGACGAGGTTTTCATGGCCACAATTATTCATACCCCTGGGAGATTTATTTAAAATCAACCAACATATTTGTTTCTGAAATTAGGTGGATTTTTCTCTAAAGATAATAAAACGACGTAAAATTATGATTATTATAATTTCATAATCCAAATAATAATTTCAGAAATAATTTGCTATTCACAGGTCTGTACTTTAACTGGACCGCTCCAGAACATCGTGTGCCCCGTTTGTCTGTCCAGGTGATGCAGGTGGTGAAGGAGCAGATCACCCGGACGCTGGCCAGCAAGCCCACATCGCTGGAGCTGTTCAAGAACAAAGTCAACGCGCTCAACTACAGCGAGATCCTGAAACTGCGGCAGACGGAGCGGCTGCACCAGGAGGAGACGCTGGCGCCGCCAGTCCTGTCAGTCCCCGCAGCATCACACCGGATCATCAGGCCACGGCGTCACACCACATCATCAGGCTGCAGCGTCACACTGCAGCGTCACACCACGGCATCAGGCTGCAGCGTCACACCACGGCGTCACACCGTAGCATCAGGCCACGGCGTCACACAGCATCATCAGGCTGCAGCGTCACACCGCAGCATCACACCGGATCATCAGGCCACGGCGTCACACCACATCATCAGGCTGCAGCGTCACACCGCAGCATCAGGCCGCAACATCACACAGCGGCGTCATACCACATCATCAGGGCGCAGCGTCACACTGCATCGTCACAACACGGCGTCACACCACATCATCAGGCTGCAGCGTCACACAGCGGCGTTGCACTGTTAAAGCTGTTTTGTGCTGCATTTTGTGCTGCAGAGAGCTGAAGGAGCGCCTGAAGCCGGAGCTGCTGGAGCTGATCCGCCAGCAGAGACTCAACCGGCTCTGCCAGGGAACCATGTTCAGGAAGATCAGCAGCCGGCGGCGGCAGGGTGGGTGCAGCCTGCTGCTGGCCTCATGGCCTTCAGTAGATCAGTACTAATCAGCGTTTCCTTTGCTGCGCTCAGACAAACTGTGGTACTGCCGCCTGTCGCCCAATCACAAGATGCTGCACTATGGCGACGTGGAGGAAGACGCAGAGAACCCGGCCATCGAGACGCTGCAGGACAAGAGTGAGTCCAGCTGCTGCTGTGAGTGGCAGCAGGTCAGGAAGCGGCTGGAGGATAATCACCAGCTGCTGGCCTCTGGCAGAGCTACACGTAAAATACAGACCAAGCCAGAAGTTTACATACACCGGCCTGAAGTTAAAACACAACCAAACGTCTCACCAAATGGTTCGTGTCTGATAAAACATCAGTGACGATCCCGGCCTCTGGTGGCGACTCTTGCATCATAATAAGGTCCAAAAAACTAAAATGCCAGAGTCGTTTCTCAGGAGATTTTCGACGGACTCTAAATAAAAAACAGTTTTCTTTACCTATAAAAATAATAGAAATATTCTCTGAGCTGACTTCATACAAAAATTTAAATATAAACGTTAAGAAAAAGTTTCACTCCTTCACCAACCAATCAGATCAACCAGCAGGAGCGACCCAGAAAAAAAACAGCTCTACCATTGGATCAATAACATTAATTATTTAGCATATAATAAATTAATCTAATCTTAATAGGCTACAACACTCCCTTTTTAACCAATGAGGGACAGCTCAGATGATGATGTCATAGCTTTGGAGGCTTCTCTGCTATCCTTAAATCCTACATTTAAGGATCTATTTACTGGATTGAATTGATCAGTTTGTCCTGCGGGCCGGTTCATTGGCTGTTCCTCTGATTCTCCCTCCAGTCCCAGTGGCAGACATCAAAGGTTTGCTGACCGGGAAGGACTGTCCTCACATGAAGGAGAACAAGGGCAAGCAGACCAAGGTCAGTCTGCTTCTTCTTCTCTGGTGTCGCTGCTGGCAGACGGTGAGTTAAAGCAGTCGTTCTCTTCTGCTGCAGGAAGTCCTGGATTTGGCCTTCAGCATCACCTACGATGTGGAGGAGTGCAGCCTGAACTTCATCGCCCCCTCCAGGACAGACGTGAGTATGACCGATCCTCGTTGTGGTGCCTGCGCCCCCTGCTGGTCCTGACATGTCGGTTCTGTCAGTTCTGCCTGTGGACGGACGGACTGAGCGTCCTGCTGGGCCGGGACATGAGCAGCGAGTCGATGCGCAGCGAGCTGGAGATCCTGCTGTCCATGGAGATTAAGCTCCGCCTCCTGGACCTGGAGAACGTCCCCATCCCCGACAGCGCCCCCGCCGTGCCCAAACCGCCCAGCAACTACCACTTCTGCTACGACTTCAGCCAGACGGAGCAGTAGGCCGGCTCTGGACGGGCTCTGGTTCTGGACGGGCTCTGGCCCATCCATCCCGGCTCTTCTTATCTGACAGATTTCAGCTCTTTACTGAGGGCGGTTCCATTGAACCGATCCAGATCTTCCTGCAGAACCAGTTTTAATCCAGAAAGCAGCAGCTGACCCGTTTCCAGCTGCCAGGAGACTCTGGTTCTTCCTGGTACTTCCTGGTACTTCCTGGTTCTTCCTGGTTCTTCCTGGTACTTCCTGGTTCTTCCTGGTACTTCCTGGTTCTTCCTGGTGCTTCCTGGTGCTTCCTGGTTCTTCCTGGCTCTTCCTTGCTCTTCCTGCTTCAGCGGTGCGGCTGCTTGTGTGATGATGCATTTAAAGTGTCTTGACATTCAGAGAATCGTTGCGTCGCTCCAGTTCGGCCCAAACGCTCCAGACTTTTAGAAAACGGTTCTGGTGCAGCAGCGACTCAAACTGTTGTTCTATTTCTATGCGGTTCAGTAACTGTGGAGCTTTTTTGATCAGTTTCAACAGATTTTGTACCAAATCTGATTATTCCTGTATGATGCTGACGACGTGTTGTGACTCTAAGCGAGGCGGTGTGTCGGTACGTGACTGAAGGCTTCGGTCGGTTCATTTCAACTGATTTTAATGCTTTTTATGAATTTACACCAATAAACAGTTTGAATTAGAAACCTACTTTATTTTTCATCTTTTAGTCTGGATGTTGGTAAAGCAGAAGAAACAAACAGCAAAGTAGAAAAAGCATCAAAGGAATTTTTATCAAATCCAGTAAAAATAAAATCTGAAGTTTCACCAAAAGTTCATCAATGAAACTGAAATCATGTTTCAGCTGATTCCTGCAGACGGATCAGAACCAGAACGTTTCCTTCACTTATCCAGCGATTCATGATCAACCGAGTTCCCAGGTTTTTCCTGAGCTGACAGGAAGTGGAGGAAGCGCTGCAGAGAGCGGCTGGAATGTTCTGATCCAGGAGGAGCGTCGGGATCCTGAGCTGTCACGGCCAGAACCGGCTGGCCAGCTGGGTCAAAGGTCAACAGAAACACTGATCTGATAAACAGACTCGTTAACGGAATCAGAAAATAATTCATAAACTTTAAGTTATTATTCTGAACAGATCCTGCTGCTCTGAGTTTCTACATTCATTCATAGAAATCATTTTAAATAAATCTTCACATCATTTCCTCTCTGGTTTTAAATAAGCAATAAAAACTCAGTGCGTCTGAAAGCTTCAGTTGCAGCTTCAGGCAGTCAGCATCGGGTCTGCCGCACCAATCAGCTTGTGATGGACTTTTTCCAGAAACGGCAGCTGTGATTGGAGGAGGTCCACTGTCGTCATGGAGATGTTTTTACATCTGGACACGTCGAGCGTCTTCAGGCGTCTGCAGTGCTGCATGAGCAGGTGCAACGTCCTGCAGACGACAGGGAGTACGGCAGGCCAGTTTAGCATAAAATCAGCTTCACGACATCTACATTCTGAAACCGGTTCATATCTGAAGTTATCTGACAGGTATGAATTGCATCAGATTTACATATGGAGGCTTTAATTCATCACATCTGCAATTAATTACTGAAATGTATTTCAGATAAATTATGACTTGAATGAGCTTCTATCTCTCATATGCATTGATTATGATTGTTCAATAATTGTCGGTGATTTCAACATTCATGTTGACAACCTGAAGACCGAGGGCCAAAAAAGCTGTTTGATATATTAGAGAGTTTTGGTTTAACACAACATGTCAAACAAGCAACACACACTCATGGACACACACTGGACCTGGTTATCAGTGAGGGTGTGAATATTTCCAATGTCTCTGTAACTGATGTCGCCTGTCGGATCACTTCCTGTTATCTTTGAATGTTCTTTATCCGTTGACCCACTTGGACAACCAGCTACTGTCACTAAACGTACTTTCACAGAAAACACAGCAGAAACATTTACCGTATTTTCCAGTGTGCCACTATAAGGCACATAGAATAGACGCTACAGTAGAGGCTGGAGTTACGTTATGCATCCACTAGATGGCGCTGCACTAAAGTGAATGTCAACAAAACAGTCCAACTCCGGTCAGCGAGGAGAGCCTTCTGGGGCCGGACGATGGCCACCCTTCTGCGTTCGCACAGCATGTTGGTGGAGAACGTGGTGCTAAACGACCTGCAGACGACCCGATTGTAGACGGTCGGTAGGTAGATAGGTCAGTCAAACTTTGTTAACAAACCAGCGTTCTGACAACTATCCCAGCATGCACCGCGCGCTTCTTCTTCTATGGCGAAAATGAAGTCAGCGGCTGCTTACTGTAGTTGCTGGACCTGTTGTGGCTCAATATTGGTCCATATATAAAGTGCACCGGATTATAAGGTGCACTGTCGGCTTTTGAGGAAATTGAAGGTTTTAGGTGCGCCTTATAGTGCGGGTAATACGGTAATCAAATCTACTCTTCTTCCTCACCCTTAAGCTAAAATGACATAGATAAGTTGGTAGATGATTTCCAGTGCAAACTTTCAGATATCAGTGATTACATTGCCCCCATTAAAGTGAAGGTTGTGTCTGGTAGGAAGACATGGAGAAATGCACAAACAGTTCAATCTGTTAGACAACTCTGCCGAAGGGTCGAACGGCGATGGTGTAAAACTCAACTGCACGTTTATTATGACATCTACAAAGAAAGACAACGAAACTATCACACAACACTAA